TACTCTCTCCTTTTAAACAGAGCTGAAACACAGATAAAAATAGATACATTAGGCTGAAATTAGTTTTGAAACTAGCAGCATTAGGTATCGAAGTCAGTAGAACAAATCTAGGTCTTCCTGCAAACGGTCATTTCCCTCCAGGATATTCTTCCCCTGCCCCATAACCTCACTTTACTTATCTGTTTTAATTTGTTCTCTATTGAGCTGATAACTGCAGTAAGTCTTGGTTTATAGCTTTACGTATTTGCTGGAGTCAAAGACTGATAAAATGTCTGTGCATGAAAAAGTTAAACATCAAGTGTTTGTTAATGTCGTACCCCATAGAATTACACAGACACGATACTTTAAAAAGGGTGTCTTACTATTTAAGCACCTTAATATTGAAATGTACACTTCCTATACTATTTAACACTTAAGCTCCCAGCAGCTCATTACAAATTGAAAGAGATGTCTTAAACGCTATGAAGAATCATTAGCTAAGCTCAACTGAGTTTTAACTGTGAATCTGACAATAACATGCTTCACAAGCAGGAGAAAAAATGCAGAACTAATGACCAAGATGATCAGAGGGAGAAAAAATGGTGGATCTCCATATGAGACCTGATATTTCTTAATACTAACTAGAAAAACCAGTAGATTAAAAGCAAGAGGGTATTCCAGACCTGATACCAGAATGTCATTGGGTCAATATGTCCTCTTTCCTGGGTCAGTGTATCTCTGGATTTAGCTCGCAGACCATGGATTTAATGAGATATTTTGTAAGTGACCTTGTATAACACTAATACAATATCATTTACGTCATTACACCTGTTTATTTTAGGCCCGGGCAGCCCAGCCTGGACTTTTGCAAAAGAGAGTTTCAGATGATCCCAGTCTATAACAGACCACAAAAGGCCCTAATTAAAACTAACAAAATATTTCGAACTGATGAAAAACAAATAGGAAAAAATACAAGGACTTTTCTGAGGTGCATGAATGCAATGGACCATTCATGTCTTGGCATAACAGAATGAGCTGAATTATTTCTTTCAGTTAAGAAAACACATGAAAATAAAGTTCACCCATGTTTTTGCAAATGCCCCTCCTCTTTTCTTTTTCTTTTTTTAAACAAACCAGAATTCTTCACAGCAACCTTCTCCAATCTGTGCAATTGAAATTTCTGCACAAAGAACTTGTAGCATCCAACATCAGATGTCAGTCCTAATATTTTTAGCTATTGGTTCTGTTGGTGTTGCTACTAATAACGTGTACCCAGTCTCCTTGAATGGGCTGTTGACAAGGCTACCATGATCGCATGAGCCTGAGCAACACTACCAAAGATTCCTTCCACATTTATGAAGACTATATTATCCAGTGTCATAGTAATAAAAAGAAAGTCGAGGGTCACATTGGCTTCTTATAACAGGATTCTCTTGAGGGTTTTAATTTCCATTTAATATCATGATGGATATTAATAAAATAATCATATAAAATAATATTTTATTTACACAAATAAATACACATTTACTCTATCCCTGGCAGTTACTCATACTCCTTCTCCCTACGGCTAAAAGCAGAGTGAAAGGGAATTTTTGAGATGGGCTTTTTTTAAACTTTCACAGCCAAAGAGGATTTGTGATCACTCACAGAATATTCAAACATCCTTGCCACCTTTGTCACCACACAGTAACTGTGAGGGCGAGGAAACTACACCCAACTGGTAGCCCACATGAAACAACATTAAATTAATGGCTCCTCCTAGTTAAAAGCTTGAATTCTGCACTCACTGAAGTAAATGACAGAGCTTTTATGCAGTCCAGAGTAAAGGGCCTCTAATGTCTAGGTTGCAGTAGTTTTCCTTTAACTTATCCCAAAATGTCAAAGTTTCAAATAGTTTCTGGAAAAGTGCAGACCATATCCCCATATTGCACATTTCTATGAGACTGTCAGCCAGACACTTGACGCCGGACAGTTTCAACTTACATTTATTACCAGGACAGTCGCTAAAGTATACAAATCCAACCAACTAGACTGGCTGAGGAGAAACCCTCTTGAAGGGAGGTCAGCACTATTTTTGCCCTTCCCAGTCCACTCACAGAAGCACTTTCAAGTGCCGGGGAGTCTCCCACCATAGCAGACAGCAGCATGGGGGAAAAAGCTGTCATAGAACAAGTACTCCATTCAACGGGTAACGTAAATAGCTAGTGAGGATGCTGGGCAAATGAATGGAAAAGCAAGGACAGAAATCACCTTCCACAGGCTTTGTGACAATTTAAACCCTTTTGCAAACACTCTGTTATCCAAACAGATTCGCCTTTGTGCTGGGAGAGGGCAGAAGAATTAAACTATTGCTATATCCCCTCGTTTGATACACGTGCCACCATGAGCTGTCCTGCAGAGAATTTATGTGCTTGAAAAGAGCTGAGGATGCACTATACACGTATATCATGTTCCCATCTAACATGCCTTGTATTGTGAAACCACACTGTTTGAATATAAGCAACAGTAAGGCAGTTTTAAGTCAACAGATCTGCTGCTGTTCTTGCAAATATCTTTTGGTTAGGTGGTAGGAAAGAAATGAAAACAGTCTCCATCCATATCGTGGTAAATGGAGCTACAAATGAGCTTTGTGGAACCATACTTCAGCTGGTATCTTAATCTTACTAAGCAAAAATATTTACCCTTTTTTTCCCCAGTGCAACTTTTTAATCTTTTCTGTGCATTCAAATATATTTATGTCATCAAATAAAAAAAAAAAAAAAGGAATATAAACCAGTTACTGTTTTGGGATTACCAGAAGTGTGTAAGTTAGAAAACAAAAAACTGATGCAGCTTCACTGAAGCAGCAATAGTTTATGGAATACATTATATTTTTAAAGAAACAGTAAGGCTTGTGAAAGAGTACATTGCATACGAATGGTTAAAAGATCAATCGGCTATTAGTGAAAATCCAGTTGTATTTAATTACATATATATCGCTACAACTAAAAAGCCTGATCCAACAGTCCAAATGAATCAATGGAAATCTTTTCATCGGCTTCACTGGGCTTTAAATCAGGGCACTAAATGCAAAGAAAGAAGAGCCAGCAGAAACACTTTATAAATTATGTTTCAATGTATTAGCAGAAATAAGAAGGAGAATCAAGCCAATTATACTCTGTGGAGGGTCAAGTAATGTAAGTCCATACATTCAGCCTCACAAGGACTAATCAACATGACGGATATGACCAAATGTTAGCAAGACAAACACTTTCTGCACTAAGACTGCAGTTGTTACACACTTAGTTGTTAATATTCTACTGTTATAGTTTTATTAATAATTATTAGTTCTGAAAGCTGGTGCTAGAAGTCTTGAAACTCTATTGTGAATGACTTGAAAGACTAGCTGTCTTAATTTTTTAAAGTAAATTCAGCCTTTTGAAAGATATCTCTGACAAAACTGGGGATTAAGTTCTCTGTAAATCCTGTACTTCAGTAAGCAAGTTGACACTGAAGCTATTGTATGAACTAATGTTACTAGTGGCAAAATTTTGTAGTATCATTCACAAAATAATTCAGGTTCACTTCAAAAAGAAACCGTGGTAGTCTGGGAAAGTTCCAAATAACTAGCATCTAAATGTTTATTGATAAATTCAGTTCAATATTTCAAATCCAATTTCAATTCCAAGCTATAAACCAATTAAAATAAATATGACGATGATTTTATATTGATAGAATTATTGCTTTTTGGCTTGGCCCACAGCAATAGGCAACCTTTAGGGAAAACACAAAATGTATCCATCATAAATATAATTTTGCTTTTATACACTATTTTCTGCCATGGAGAACGTAAATGACTACTAACACTAAAACATTTTAAAATTCTTGGAAAGCATATTTAAAGATTATAATTTCTTGTTGTCCCGAGGCTGAGGGTTTTACGGCTTTATAAAACCCTTGAAGACTAACAACATAACTTCTTAAAAATACCCTGAACATATGAAGAAATTTATAGATCAAATGAATAGAACTAACATGTTAATAGTAACTCAATATGAAGTTCTTAAAGAACAGCTACTGAAGATTACTCCTGAATTGCAGCCACACGTACGAAGGACACTAATCATAGTGTTAAATAATTTTATGGAGAGCTCCTCACACTTGTGAATCTCCAGTTTCAATGAAACATCCATCCATTTACATCAAATGTAAACAGCAGCAACTTTGCACTGATTTTATTCCAAGATGCCAATTGTTGAATTACATTTTTCTGAAAACAGGAAAGCAGTTTCTCCAATTTATGACCATACTTTAACTAGCAGAGGTAGTGTTGATAATATGTGACAGCTACACAGCTATTTTATCTAAAGCAGTGGTAATAATTAATTAACCAGTCCTGCTGGACCTATTCAGCCATAATATCAGTCATGGAGACTTTATTTCATAACCACAACATGCTGATATTATTCTATGTGGGTTTTAGAATGTGTTAGGCTATCTGAATTATTTTTAAAATTCAGACAGGAAAAGATGAGGTTTTTTACGAAGTAGTGTCATTTTTACATGAAGGATGTTAAAATAAAAACACTGCAAACATCTAGAAACCTAAGTAATTTTGATCTATGAATTTAAATCAAGCCCTCCTGCAAATAAACTATTATAATAGTTCACAAAATGCTGTACTAAAAGCTTGTATCCTGTAACAACTTGCAGATGCACTTAACCATGTATATTACTGAAGTCAAAGTGAGTGCAGAGGGGGCCCAAAGCAGAGCATACATATCAGTCTTTGTAGAATCAAGGCCTCGAGTAATAAATTCCTAACTACGCATGTCACTAAACTTGAAAAAACTGTGTGTGAGGTTTCTGGTTGTTTCCAAAAGTACTTTTCCTTTGATAGTCTTCCATACGTTGTGTATACGTACACGTATATGTAGCTATATGTGCATATACACAAAGTTATCAACTTTTTAATCACTTACAAGAATAAGTCACCTTAGAAATATAGTATCCTGTTCAAATACAGTATTTTTGCTACTCACCTGTCTGTTACGTTCATCCATAATCCTTGTAATCTGAATCTTTTTTCTCCCCATAGTCCCCGTTTTTTTTTCTCTCCTTCTTCCTTAAAATTATGTATTTTTCCCTTCTCTTTTCTTCCTCTTTCCCGTTTCCTCAAAACAAACCTCCTTCTTCAGCACTTCCACTACTCAGTTCACAGTCCCCTGCATCCGTTCCTGCT